ATCTTCTGTTTGAAGACTGTGTTTTGTCTCCTGTGATTCCTTTCAGACCCCCTTGCCTGACTGTATTTATCCAGAATGTGATGTCATATATCTGATGGCACTCTGCTGTGTCAGCTAGTACTGATGACTATGAAATGCACTAGTGGGGAAGGAACACACCACTTAACTCCTCACAAAGCAGAATGCTGAAGCAATCGTTAAGATTTTCTAATGTGATAGAGCTCCATGAAATGTGTCCAGTAGTACCTGATAGGCTCACACCAACTTACAATATTTAGCAATGTATATATGTGTAATATTTTTAGAAATGGATGTATTTTCAGATTGTTACAGAGGGTATCTTCCATATACCTTTGATCAACATAAAAATATAGCCCTTAAAAAAAATTAAATAAAAAATGATGAGTGAGTTGTAAAAATTGTTTCAGATTGGTTTGTGTGAATGAAAACTAAATATGCTTGCAATAACTCCAGCTGTAGCAAAATGATTTATTCAAGTTTACAATATTGTACATAAAAAAGAGAGCCAATTACATTTATGAAATATGCGGTATGTTTAAAATCGGAGCAAGGCAAGCTGTTTATGTCACTGACATATTGCTGAACAACTAAAGATGGAATCCATCCCAGCCGATGGCTTTCACCGCCAGTGTAACACTTGTCTTACAAAGTTCTGGCAAAAGTAACAAATTGGATTTAAATGAGACATTTGTATAGCTAATTGTTTAATTTTCATATAGTATATTAATAAAATATACACATTTTAAATTACCAAAGGCTTTCTTCTGTTTTTTTCAAAATGAAAATCTGGTTTCTCCTGTCACAGTGAGTAATATCTTTAGTTGACATAAAAACGATATGTTTTGATGTGTCGAACAAAAAAAATCAGAAAATGGTAGAAAATTATAGATTTGATAAGAGGAAAAAAAATGGTTAAAAATCAAATATTTCTAAGGAAAATCTCTTTAACAAGCTAAAATAGACTTTTATTTGTTTTGTTTTTTCCTGACTTTTGATCTATTCGCTTTTTGACTTATATCATGTCCTTATCAGAAACCACTTGTATTATGGCATGAATATTACAAGGTAATACAGCAGTCACAAATAAAACATGTTTTGAGAGTGGTATTATGTAGAGTCTTTGCAAATCACCTTTCAGGGTCATAGCAAAAAGTGAGAATGCAATTAATAAAACACAATTAATAACAGCTTCAAATACTATAATACCAATAGAGTTCTGAATCAGGCAAATATGATTCTGGATTGTAGTTTATTTGTAAGCACATGTTTTACATTTGAATTTAAAATAGTAGTATCAAATAACAAAAATATTGCATATTCTGTTAATTAAGAAATCATTTATTTGTATTTTTGTGCGTGAAATTTTAGCTATATCTATATTTAGCCTACATTTAAAAAGCAGCATCACAATGAAAATATTGTTTCTTGGTCATCATCTTCAAAGACATCAAGAAGAAAAGCAAATAGCCATGGGTTTGAGTCTGAGTCATTGAAAAACAACTTAATTATCTGTATCATGGCGATTTACATTAGTTGTTCAGGACATTTAGAACAGGCATTTTTTTGTTTTTTCACACCTTAGGAGAATCCTCATATCTTACTGTGGAAATACAATGAGTAAAAATCAATTTAAACTGCAAGTCCATTTTATTCTATAAGAACAGCAATAGCATAACTATTGAAATGCATATCAAAGGAAACAAACATCAACACTCCAAAATTTGAAAGTTGAAAATGAAATGTAATTTTGTCACATGTTGACTTTTTTTTTATATTTTGGAAAATATTAATATTGTACGTTATTATTAATTATATAATATTATTATGGGATAAAATAACGTTACCGAGTTCAATAACATTTATTAGAATGCACCGTTCATTTTTCTCATCAGCCATTCTTCCATTTTAAGTTCATTAGTCCAAACCAAGCGACCATTCGTCCAGATTATAGGCAAACCAAATGGATTTAAATTGCAAAATATTTACACAATATTTATATTGGGTATATATTTAACAGTACACTGATTGGCCCTTTGTTTGTGCCCTTTTGGTGCATCTGAATTGGTTTTCCCAAAATGATTGCATGGATGATATGCATCTGAGCTGAAACACCACATGGACAAATTTCTATCCACCTGAACAAAAATCTTTGTTTGTTTTTTCAGACATATTGATGCAGCTGAAACAATTTTTTTTTCTCTTTGCAGAAATGTAGCCATTAGAATGAACCTGTTGCCCATTTTTTCAACATAAGTTAAATATAATTATGCGAATACTAACCAAAAATGTCTCTTTTTCACTGTGCTGTAATCAAGCTTCATTGTTTTGCCAGATACAAACTTCAATTCCAATGCTTTCAGCACCGTCATTAGTCCACTTTCATGGGTGTGAAGGCTCTTCTTGGCCCTGTCACTATTTGGGAAAACCTCGTATGGCTTTACCAACACCTAGCAAACTTCACTTCAGTGAGGATGCTGGTTGTAATGTGATGATGCAGCTGCTGCACATGTGTGCTTAGTAATGTTATTTACCCAATGGAAATGCTATTCTAATGTAGATAGACCTCGACATTTAATGAATGCTGAGAGTCTGTCTTCTTGGAGGGGATGGAGCAATTTTTATGTTATTGAGAAAACTAAACATTTGCTAGCAATTTCCCTACAACAATGTATAGATTGCATTTTATAAGGAATTTAATATGCATTAATGAAATAGGGCATGGCAGATTCCCCATAAGCAATCACATTCTCGCCATTCCAATACTTTTTGACACAACACTTTTCCTATTATGAGCTTGGCGTAACTGATAATAGTATAAGTTAGATTATGTTAAAAAGTCAATGTTAAATAGCAAGCTTTAGTTTTCATGATCCTTCAATAGAATATTTGTCAACACATTAATCAAGCCATTTAACTGTAAAAAGGACTTGCTAAAACACAAAAAACTTTTTTCTAACAATTAGCCAATACCCTGAAAATGTTGAGTGTTTGCACATGAGCAGAACTAGCACCGCAAACAATACCAATCGGTTGATGAGGCTTATGAACAATGTAACCAATATTTTACTAATGATTTCTTGTTAATCAATTAAACTACAAACAAGGATTACATTATAACACAAGATAACCTAGCGATATTGATAACAACAAACACACATGCACATTATATCCAAAATGTCTACTGCAAGTTTTCTATTCCTCTTGACTATTGTATTGCTTACTGCTGCTGCTGTTGTTGCTGATTGCAACTTTTGACTTGACACATGTTATTTCAGTTAATCCACAGTTCTCAGAAGAACTACAAGAGACATCCGTTGCTGTGAATAATACGTGAACTAGTTATGACTCAGGTGAAAATCTACTATAAGGCCTGCCCAAAATTCACAAGTCCCTAATGTCACCTCCTGGACATCCTATCATAAGTGGTATAGATTCCATTACAGTGGGACTCTTAGCTTTTATTGACACTTATTTACAAGAGCATGCCCAACAAACAACATCTTATGTCAAATGACACCAAAGCCATTCTACAAGAATTGGCAAATATTGAGTGACAATATGAATATAGCTGAGCCACTTTGGATGTCTCTTTATTATACACCATCATAAAACATGATTTGGGCATTAAGGCAGTTAAATACTACATACAAAGGGATCAAAACATTTCTGAGGCAGTAGGGAATTTCATTCTTATTTCTATTACTTTAATACTATATTACAGGGAATGCCATGGAGAACAGGTTCCAACATCTACATGAGAAGATGGGAAGAACTTACTGTGTGGGCTTGGCATGGCTGGGGTCATGGCCTGGTCCTGTGGCGGAGATATATGGATGACGTTCTTATTATTTAGCGAGGATCAGAAAATTCATTTTCTAATTTTGTTGCGTTTTTTAACACAAACTTATACAATTTAAAATTCACTTCTGAATGGCATTGTAGCAAAATTAATTTTCTAGATGTGACCCTTTCAAATGAAAACATGGATATAGTCTGCAAATGCTATCCAAAAAACCAGATGGGAACAGCCCAGGCTCTGAGGCATTGCTAAGAGCCAACTTACAAGGGTTAAACGTAACTGCACTACTTTGGATGACTATTATCAACAAACTGCCATTGTAAAAAACAAACTAATGATGAAATGTTACGATAAAAATCATATTGAAAAGGAGATTAAAAGAATTGCAGAGATAAAAACAAATTAATGATTCATACTAAACCAGACTCTGAGACCATTTAAAGGCTCAGAAACCCTTTGGAGGTGTTATGGCTTACTTAGCTGATTGGAGTGGGACATTGTAAGCCTAGAATATTGCACCTTTTCACAATATTCTAATTTACTGAGATTGTGGATTTGGGGTTTTCATGAGCTCTAAACCATAATCATCGCACTTATGACAAATCACAGCTTCAACTATCTTGCTTTGCATGTAGTGCGTCTATCTCATATATTAGTTTTCCTTTTTACGTTGCATTATGGAAATAAATGAACTTTTGCACGATATTCTAATTTTTCACGTATCAACACACTCTAGTATCGAAAAACAGACACAGAAATTTGAACATGCCTTCACCATTAGGTACAACACTGACCACTTCAAAAATCAAAAGAGTGATATCGAAATATTGGTATATTCTTCGAGAGGATAATATCCTCAGATCCGTTTTGCCAGAATGACCTCTCATTATTTTTAAAAAGAACCAAAATGTTAAAAATAAATTATTTCCAAGTTACAGCATTAATCATATTGACAAGACAGATGTATGTGGTTTCCATGCTAGCTCATGTGCTGTGCATGCGTGTTACTGTATGTTTGGCATTGTGGGGTGGTTTCCATGCCACCTCATGTGGACAGATTTTTCAAGTTTTCATTAGCTTATGTGGATAGACTTGGGGCTCTTGGACTGGATCATTGAATGACCTGGGTGTGTGTGTAAAGCATTTTTTTATTTTCTGCTCACTTAGTGACTTTGGTGTCATGGCACCCAAGGAAGCAGCCGAAGCTGGGAAGAGGAAGAAAGAGATGATTCTGCTCAAGGTCAAGAAAGAAATCATTAGGAAGCATGAAGGAAGAATGCGATTGACTGACCTCGCCAAAGAGTATGGAAGGAGTGCATCCACGATCGCTACCATTTTAAATATGAAAGAGAAGATAACTGTGAGAGATGCAGCCAAGGGAGTCACCAGGGTCTCCAAGCAACGGCCACCTGTTCTGGAATAGGTTGAAAAGTTGCTCCTGCTCTGGATTGAAGAGAAGCAGCATGCAGGGGACACAGTGTCCAAGGCGATCATCTGCAAAAATGCCAAGGCCTTGCATGCTGACCTCCTCGACCAACAGCCAGAAATGTTGCTTGGAGACCCTGGTGACTCCCTTGGCTGCATCTCTCACAGTTATCTTCTCTTTCATATTTAAAATGGTAGCGATCGTGGATGCACTCCTTCCATACTCTTTGGCGAGGTCAGTCAATCTCATTCTTCCTGATGATTTCTTTCTTGACCTTGAGCAGAATCATCTCTTTCTTCCTCTTCCCAGCTTCGGCTGCTTCCTTGGGTGCCATGACACCAGAAACGTTAGCTGATGCAGAAGGCTTCAATGCGAGCAGGGGGTGGTTCGAGACCAGATCTGGCATCCACATCGTGGTCAGGCATGGAAAGGCTGTGAGTTTCAATGTTGCTGGAGCTGAGAAATTTGCTACTGAGTTCCTGGAGGTCATAGTTTCAGAGGGCTACCTTACTCAGCAGGTCTTCAACTGCGACAAGACTGGGCTCTTCTGGAAGAGGATGCCAAAGCGTACCTTCGTCACGGAAGAGGAGACCTCATTATTGCCTGGCCACAAACCGTTGAAGGACCGTCTCACCCTTATGTTCTGTGCCAATGCCAGTGGGACATTTAAGGTCAAGCCTCTGCTCGTCTACTCTTCAGAGAACCTACGGGCCTTCAAGAAACACAAGGTGAACAAGGAGCAGTTGAGCGTTTTGTGGTGGTCCAATCCAAACCCTTGGATCACACGCCTCTTGTTTGTGCACTGGGTCAATATGGTTTTTGGTCCTGCTGTCAAGCACTACCTTGTGGACAATAACCTGCCGCTCAAGGCTGCAAGGCTGTGCTGCTTATGGACAATGCTCCGGCTCATCCTTCAGGACTTGAGGAAGACTTGCTGGAGGACTTTAACTTCATCACAGTCATGTTCCTTCTGCCTAACACCACCCACTACTCCAGTTAATGGACCAGAAGGTCATCTCCAATTTCAAACAACTCTACACAAGGGAGCTTTTCCAGTGATGCTTTGAGATGACAGATGTAAATTTTGGAGAGACCATTTTGACATTGTGAGCTGTCTGCAGACTATCACAATTGCCTGGGCCAGGGTCAGCCATAGACACCTAAATTCTGCTTGGCTCAACCTGTGGCCAGACTTTGTTGTGACACCTGCCTCCGAAGCTTCTGCACCTGAGTCAACAGTTGTAGCAGATGGCATTGGGCTGTTCTCAAAGCTCATTTTAAAAATGCAGTTTGTGTGATTATTCCCATGTATAGCTGTATTGTATGTAGCATTTGTATGATTGTTCGGAAGTTTTCATTCCGTGTTCCATACGAATGAAAACTACCAAACCATCAGACCACCCCAGAGAGAAGTGTGTACCTCGGCGGAGTCTGGCCACCATCTTAGATGGCCATGTTCTAGAGGAGCTCCTGAGGCAAGGGGACATAAATGTTTCATTAATAAAATATTAAGCCTGGATGACAGAGAATTTTACACAGAAAGAGACACCTGAACAACTGGCAACAATGCAGAAACAAAAAAATCAGGAAAAAAACGCGCCTCTACTGCAAAAGCGAGAGGTTGGAGCTGCAGGGGTGCGTAAAGGCCTGCAGGTCCATTCACCTGCCAACAAAACTGGCCAGCGGCTTATTTCACCACAGAAATCCACGTTGGTGGGAGTGGTAAAAACTATCCCACCCGCCCGCCCAGTTACCCAGACAGAAGCTGACAGCCGCTCGCGTGCTATAATTAAAGCAGCCTGGTCGCTGGTATACACAAGCGGCCAGGACACAGAGGAGGGTTTGGGGGCGTGAAGTCTCGCTCCCCGTTGAGGTCCTCGGTCTCACGGCTGGGAAAACCTGCAGGGGGGGTTCTTTCCCTCCATCTCCCTAAAAGACAAAAAATTGGTAGATGATGGTGACAATTTAATAAACTGTAATGTATTGGAGGAAGAAATAGGCTCCATTTATTATCCTTCTATGCAACAAAACATCAGGCATAAAGCCTCTACCAAGATGGCTACTAATGAGACTTCTATTAATAATTTTACCACACCCAAGATGTCTACCACTGTGCATGTAACCACTGCCACCACCAAGATGGCCACTGCCACTTCTAACATGGAAACTGCCACATCCAAGATGGCTTCTTCAGGATTCAAAACCATGACCTACAATCCTAATATGCTGCTTGAAATGGCAGAGGATTTACCACCTTCTGCTGGTATGATTATTCAACTTATACAAAATTTGAGAGTGGATTTAAAGAATGAATTTAGAAAAGATTTTGACACTATGTACGGAGTTTTAGAAAACATTGGTCAACGTACAGAAGATGTTGAATACAGAATGCAGGTGCAAGAACAATCACATTTAGATATGGTTAACACTGTGAAGGAAGTTCAGAAACAGGTCAACTTGAAAGCAGAAAAAATGGCAGATTCTGAAGACAGGAGCGGGCGTAACAATTTGAGGATCAGGGGGATACCTGATAATGTGGACACCTCGGACTTGATAAATTATTTCAAGAAAATGGTTAAAACAATTTTACCCCTTACTACTGATTTAGATCTAATAGTGGATCGTATCCACAGACTCCCTAAATCTGGCAAAGCACCTGCAACAGCTCCCAAAGACATCATAGTGAGACTACACTTTTTTCATATAAAACAGGAAATCCTAACCACTATTCGCAAATCAGGTCCTGCGGATTATAAATATATCAAAGTTTTCCAAGATTTCCTACACTGAGACGCCGCAGAGAATTTCAACCCTTCACGACAGAGCTGAGGCAAAGAGAGATTCATTACAGATGGGGATTTCCTGTAAAACTACTCTTTTATATGGATGGCAGAAATTTCACAATCACTTCTCCTGAGGAAGGGATGGAGCTTCATAATGCCATGAACAGACGTCAAACCCAACCTCACGTAACCTCAAAGTCTACTCCAAGACACACCCACAAGAAAAGTAGTGCGGATGACACTTGAAGCTACTTTCTTTTAATTTTTTGAAGGCACAAAATCTCCAACATACATATTACTTATTTATTACTTTCTCCACGTTGTTTTATTACATCCATTTTATTTCTTACGAATTGTTTTTTCTCTTTCCCTTTTTTTTTTTTCCCTCTCTCTCCCATTTGGTTAAATGTCTATAGGTCAGTGATGTTTTTGAATGTATATGACTGATTTCTGATATAGGCCTGGGACATACTGAGCATATATCGGGCTTCATTAGAGATGTGATCACAGAACTAGAAGGACTCCATTCTTTATTGATCTTCTCTGCATACCACTGTTCATTTTTTATTTTTTATTTTTTATTTAACCCCTTAAGGACCAAACTTCTGGAATAAAAGGGAATCGTGACATGTCACACATGTCATGTATCCTTAAGGCAGGGGTTCTCAACCCAGTCCTCAGGACCCCCTACCAGTCCAGGATTTGGGGATTACCTGGGTGTGTCTAAGGTGTTTAGAAAAAGGGAAAAAAACACCTTAGACTCTAAAACCCTGGACTGGTAGGGGGTCCTGAGGACTAACGTTGAGAACCCCTGCCTTAAGGGGTAAAAGCTCTGATTGTTTTCCCCTTGCCGCAGGCAGTTTTCTCTCCTCCCAACCGGGGCCTAATACCCTGAGATGGAGAATTATTTTTTTAATCTCCCTCCTGGCCCTTTTTCTAAACATAGTTTTTTTTCTCTCCCCGTATAGGGGAATTTATCCAAGTTTATTATTCCCCATTTTTTATTTTTCCTTTTTATCCCATCCATTTACTAATGCACTGTAAGCAATTCAAGAAGCTAACAGGTTATGCTTCAAATGTTTTAGACTCTTGTCTAAACAAATGTATTTGTTACGATTGTTGGATTTCATAACTCTCTTCTTGGGACGCGGGCCTTCGGGCTCCCACATTTCTATACAATCTCTTTTTAATGGCTTTGTACTCTGATTTGAGTCAAGGTCATTTAACTCATGTGATTTAATGTGAGGGGCCTGAACACCGCTCACAAGAGGTGACTATTGTTCAAAGAAGTCAAATCCAACAAATCAGATATTGTCTGTATTCAAGAGACTCATCTTAAGGAAGGAAAAGAGTACAAATTTATGACACGGTTATTCCCTTCTCAATTTCATTGCACTTACAAAACTAAGTCTAGAGGTACTTCCATTTATTTTTTTGCAGTAATGTGGCCAATTCTACAGAAAAGATGATGACGGGAGGTACATAGTGTGGATTGGTAAGGTTAACAACGTTATGTATACAATTGTCAATGTGTACTTTCCTAACACGGGCCAGCTTACTTTCTTTAGGAAAATTATGGATTTGGTGAATGAGAACATGAAAGGGACTTTGGTGATGTGTGGAGATATGAACTTCGTTATGGATGGCTACTTAGATAATGCAAGGGATAATTTGGATTAACTCCATGGGAGAGATAGTGATAGATTAGCTGTGAAATACTCGAAATTTATGTTTGAATGTGGACTGTATGATCCATGGAGATTAATGCATGAGAATGAAAGAGACTTTACTTTTTACTCAGTATCCAAGAACATGTATTCCAGGCTGGACAGGTTTCTGATACAGTGTGCTCTCATCCCACACATCTCAAGATCTGATATTTTAGATATCAATTGGTTTGACCATGCTCCCATAACTTTGCATATAGACGAAATGGTTTCTTTCTCCCCCAATAGGCACTGGAAACTGAGTGATTACTTATTAGATGATCCTGAAAATAGATCGCTAGCTGAAGGGATGCTGAATGACTATTTTTTGGAAAATGTTTCGCATGAGGTTCCTGGTGAAGTGACATGGCATGCGCACAAGGCTATGTTGAGAGGCCATTTCATTTCTAGGGCATCTCACTTGAAGAAGAAAAATAACAGCAACTTGGAAAAAGAACTGTACAACCTAAATCAGGCAAATCAATTCGGCCCATCTTCCTCCTTGTCAGAAATGATAGAGAAGATTAAATGAAAAATTCACAAAATAAATTTGGATCGAACTACTCTCATGGTGAGACGCCTCAAAAAAGTGTTTTATTTAAAGGGTAACAAGGCCTCAACTCTCCTGGCATCCAAACTCCGGCAGGTGAATGCCCATTCTAAAATTGCGTACTTAATAGATGACCAGGGACAAAAAATATTTCACACGAATAAGATTAGTAACCAATTCGCCAAATATTATAGTGTACTTTATAATTTGAAATCTGATGTAAATGTCACCCAGCGGTCTGAGGCGACTATTAATAATTTTTTAGACAGGGTTTTGTTGCCTCGGCTGTCTTATGATAATTTGGAAAAATTAGAGCGTGATATATCTGAAACAGAGATAGCCGAGGCGATTAGGCTCATGCCATCTGGAAAGGCCCCTGGTCCCGATGGATTCACCATTTTATTCTACAAGACCTTTGCAGAAACTTTAATTCCTCATATGCCCAAATTATTCAACTCCTATAAGTCTAGGGGGAAGATGCCAGGAGAGTCTTTGTCCGCACAGATTGTCACATTGCCAAAACCGGGTAAAACTCCCGACAGATGCTCTAATTTTAGGCCCATATCCCTTATTAATAATGACACAAAAATGTATTCTAAGATACTAGTGAACTGATTAACTAATCTAATACCTTTATTGATTAATAATGACCAGGTGGGATTCGTGAAAGGTAGACAAGCAACTGATGGAACGAGACGTTCATTAACTTAATTCAGCATATCAATTCAACAAGAACTCCTTCTCTGCTCCTTTCATTGGATGCAGAGAAGGCATTTGACAGGGTACATTGGGGATATCTATGGAAGACACTGAGCAGATTTGATATTCCACAATCTTTTATTACTGCGATAAAGGCACTATACAGTACACCCATAGCTCATGTATCGGCCTCGGGTTTCCAATCCAGAACGTTTTCTCTAACTAATAGGACACATCAAGGCTGCCCCTTATCTCCAATTCTCTTTGTCCTGGCAATGGAACCCCTGGCTGAACTGATTAGGACAACCCCAGAAATCACAGGTATTAAT